CAGTAGAGTTACTTGTGTATTCTTTCTTTTCACACAAAGTACCCAGTCTCACTGCTTTTTGCATAGATGGAACTCAGACAATTTTTTATTCATTATTATAAGTATTATTTGAGACAGGTCTCCCTCTGTCTGCCAGGCTGGAGTGCAGTGGCACAATCTCAGCTCACTGCAACCTCCACTTCCCGGGTTCAAGCAATTCTGCTGCCTCAACCTCCCAAATAACTGGGATTACAGGCACGTGCCACCACACCTAACTAATTTTTGTATTTTTAGTAGAGACAGGGTTTCACTATGTTGGCCAGGCTGGTCTGGAACACCTGGCCTCAAGTGATCTGCCCGTCTTGGCCTCCCAAACTGCTGGGATTACAGGCTTGAGACACCATGCCCAGCCAGTCAGACAATTCTTGATATGTGATCGGTTTGCTTGTTAAGCAAAAGAAAAATACAGATGACAAGATACAGAGATAACCACCAGCTTAATGTGCCTTGGGTTCAGTGGTAAGGAAATTGCCATCAATGTTTGTAAAATTTATTGGTGAGGTAAAATGAGGAAACTGAGGCAAGTATAAGCAAATAAGAATATAATTTATTCAGCTCCCCAGAGAGGTTCCGTGGTCCTGGAAGGGGCCAAAGAAGTCACGCCTGGCTGTTTAGGTCATGGATTTTTATGGGGAAGGAAGGCGATTGATTGACTATTGGGGAAACGAAGCGAAGGCATTCTTATTGGCCGTTAAGAAGTAGAAAATGGCTGTCAGGAAGCAGGAAATACCTGGAACTGGTTGCCATTGGTAGGTGGGCGGGACTTTGGGTAAGTGGGCCTTGATTGGCTGTTGGGGAAACAAAGCAAAGGCAATTTTATTGGCTATTAAGAAGCAGGAAATGCCTGGAGGTAGTTGCTATGGGTAGGTGGGCGGGACCTTGGGTAGGTGGGCCTTGATTGGCTGTTGGGGAAACAAAGCGAAGGCAATTTTATTGGCTATTAAGAAGCAGGAAATGCCTGGAGGTAGTTGCTACGGGTAGGCGGGCGGGACCTTGGGTAGGCGGACTTTCCGGGGGCATACAGAGCAGCCTGCTGCCAGGCAGGGTCTGATGGGGCTTCTTTACAAAAGTTTTCTGCAGGGTTTTTCCACAGCAGGCTCGGGGTTGGATACATAATTTAGTGCTGAATGTGGGCTTGGGTCTGGTATGCGGAGGCGGGTGCGGGAAGCCATGAGGCAAGGCCAGATAAGGAGCGTGGGTGATGAGGCAGCTCTCAGGTGCAGAGAGAGATGGATGTGTCTGCTTAACCCTCTGCGAGGCAGCCGGCCTTACAATGTGAACATCAGCAGTGGCAATAGATTGTTTTTTTTGTGGGGCTTTGGTGTCTTGGAGGCACAACTCATAATCTCCAAAACATGTTCACATGGAAAATAAAAAGACACGCTGCTAGGATGAGCGAGGAATCCCCATTTTTCACAGGATGTTGCCTCTCTTGCTGTGGGTGACCATGTCAATGTCTCACTGGAATTGGCGGAGGGAGCATGGGATGCTGAGCAGCCGCCTTGCTCTGTGTGTGACCCCCCAGGGCCCATCATGGGTCCTAATCAGACAGTCTCCTACCTTGACTCGGCAGTGCCCACGGAGAGGGAACATTGAGAAGAACAGCAGTATGTGAGCGGTGCCATTGGGTGGCATCAAAATAATGTATGACTGCTTAATTGCCAGGTGTATGCTTGGAGTTTCACATATGTTAATCTCATTCATTCCTGTAACATTTATTGGTGGTTCATTCTTATGAATATATATCAGAGAGATAGAAAAGGTTTGTTCATTTTGTTTGCCTTAAATTATTATGTTAGTAATGGTTGAGCTGGTATCTGCATAGAGTTGTTTCTCAGGACTGAGGCCCTATGTGGCCACCAGGCTGCATGCCAAGCAGTGCTGGGCACTGGGTCTACTTTCCCTTCATGAGGAAGCTGCGGGTTTCTCTTCCTTAACAGTCTTCCAGCAAGAATGCAGTCGGTGATGTGAGCGAAGCCGGGAATTCACCTACTATACTCCCATACTGGCCCCATGAGAAATATATACAGTAGATGCAAATGCTTCAGGGATCTAATTCTCGGTATTTCGTTACAGAACCCCATTCAAAAATCTACTGAGCACCCACAGTGGACAATGTAAAATCCCCCTTCTATATCAAGCAAACCTGATAACGCAAACACAAAAGTAGCATTTACACTGTTGAAGCCTGACAGTAAAGCGGATTACAGGCTGAATGCAGAATTTCTAACATCAAGGAATAGAGTAGGCGCATAAAACAAAAGTTACGTGCACAAACAACATGCTTTCATACCTGCCCAATTTGTTTCTGAATTTGGTATTTTACAAGGAATGTGGCATAACAACGTGCTATTTGAAATAAGAAATGTGGAATATCAGCATGCTTGTTCCAAACCACCTACATTCTCTCAGCTTGTTATACCTTTTTCTGCCCTTGCAGGCTTATTATCAAACATTTAATTAGCTTCTCTGCTCTACTGAGGTGTCAGTCTATTGGCTTTAGCTAATAAGCAGCGAGAGCAAAGCATCTAATAGCTGTCAGAAAGTCAAAGATTTGAAATAAATAAAAATGTTGGTACCCATATTTCAAAGCTGGTAGAGTTAAGCTTCTCAGAAAAAAAATAAAAGTGTATTCTGAAGGACCACATACAATTTGCAATACAATCCTAAATTTCTTTCCTTTATAACAGAATGAGCACCATTCAGAAGTGGAATTATCAGCGCATTCTAATCTTTCATGCCGCACTAATCTGTTTAATCAAAGCTCCATCTCAGTTTGTCTAAGCATGCTGCCTGCCTCTGAAAGGCAAATTGCATTCTGTCTAACAGCATGTGGTTCTAAAAGAGAATGCACTTGTTTTTACTCCCTAGATAATGAGTTTAAAATCACTTTGTACTTTGGAAAAAAGAGTCAAGTTACAAGCAGCTTTGCTTCTGTGAGTATATTTAAAATTTACACAGGAATCTGCAAAATAGAAGGCTCTGTGCTGTGCCGGTTTCTCACTTGTTTACAAATTTGTTCTAAAATATTACTTTTCTCTGCACATATTGGTAGGGAACTTGAGACTTGAAATACGTATATTTTACATGAAGTTAAGCACAGAGTGGCAAGAGCATGGCTCAAATAAGATTGTAAGAAGACAAAGACAAGTGTCAAATACTAAAATACCTTGATTAGTTATGTGAAGTGTTCCTAATTAAAAACCCTCCTTCCTATCAGCACTTCCGCAGTGTGGCTTTTCACAGACACTTGAGGTTGGGGCTCTGAGATTTGAAATGTATCAACATAGTTTTCTTCAAATAGCTTTTAACAGAGGAGCATTCTGTCCAAAAACCAAATAAACTAGAGCCGTGACAAGTGAAAGGCCTACAGTGTTTCTTATTTCCTTTGACCTTTGAGTATTAACTTTTAAATACAATTTCTCCACTAGTATTTCTCATAGGAGCTGTTAGAGAAATCAGTGAGGTTTTACAATGGTATTTAATCAACCACGACAGACATGTCCCAGAACATCTACCACAGTCCTGTTCCTTTTTCTATTTTTTTAATGTCATTTCACCACCCTCAACAGAAGTTCCTTAAGCTTTCAGTTTCTCTGCAAGTTTAGCTTAGAGGCCACCAATAATGGAACCACTTAGGTTGGTTGCTAAAATCCACATCCCTGGGCCCACCCAAACCTGCTTAATTAGAATCTCTAATTCCAGGACTCGGGAATCTGCAGATTTACAAATCTAAGAAAATATCGCAGTAGAACTGGATGACTACTCTGTCTAGTGCTAAACCTGTCTGCCTTGAGTTTAAGGTGCTCTCCTCTCTCACTCTCTCAACATACACTTGCACACACAAACACACACATTCACACACATGCAGTCTTTATATGCCTTTACATTTGTTCCTAGGTAATCTATCTGAGGGGGATTGGTTCCAGGAAAAACCTCAGAGGATACCTACACCATGGATGCTCAAGACCTTTATATAAAATGTTATACTATTTGCATATGTGACGTGGTAAAGGCCCCATAAAACTGCATACCTCGGCTTTCTATTGAAACTGCTCTCTGTAACTCAAATGTGACAGGCAAGCAGTCCAAATCCATGACTGTAATTTCCACCCTACCCAGACAATGTGTAAGCAAATGCTAATCTGGACTTCTGTGAACCTCTTAAGTAACAATCAGAATGTCAAAAGTCCCCTGGCCCTCGGAGTATCCGGAGCCCCTCACCCTCATCTTCGCCCAGGAATCCACTGGAATGTCCGGAGCCCCTCACCTGGGTTGGAGACACGCCAGTCCTCCGTGGCCGCTGTCAATAAAGACCCTGCAATTTGGCATACTTTTGTCTTGGTGTTGACTTTCTATGCTCAGGCCAGTACAACACATATAAACTATGTACATCCTCCTGTATGCCCAAATTCATCTTTAGATAACTTGTAATATCTATTATAATGTAAATACTATATGATAGTTGTTATATTGCTTTGTATTATTTTTATTATTAGTTGTTATTTCTTATTGTTCTTCCCCAAATATTTACTATGGATGGTTGGTAGAATCTGCCCATGTCAAATCACATGAATAGGAAGAGCCGAGTGTACTGTGTGAGATTCTACGGGCATAAATGTACGGTTTCAGCTTTTAAACATCTACAGAGATTTAGAGATCTGTTTCACCCAGTGGTATATTTAGTGGATGCTGACTGGTAGGGGCGGATATAAAAACTGTAAAAACACAGAAAATGACCATCCGTAAATAAGAATTCTTCAAAACACACTTCATCCTTGAAAGGACTCATTAATCTATTTCTAATTTTAAAAAATCAATTAAGAGAACATTTGAAAATTTGATAATACACTGAATAAATGTCATATCTGCCTAATGAACGGAATGACAGTTTTTAGCAATGCACTACATTCTTATTTGCACATGGTGAACATTACGACATCAGGAAAAAGAAAACTCACCACTTCTTCATGTCTGCATTTTCTCACATTAATGCCATTTATCTGCAATGAAAAGAAAAGCACAGTTTCCCATGGCATACTGTAAATTGATTTGATGTTAGACAGCATATATAATGACAAAATGTATACCTGTAGGATTGCATCTCCAATAAAAAGTAAGCCCGAAAGCTCCGCTGTAAATGAAAAACGAAAAAGCACAGTTGATAATGCATTGACTGTTTTTGTTATACAGATGAAAGGGCTTTTAATTAATAAAGATAAAACCTATAAACAGAAAAGTAAGGGTTTTTTTATGGTTAGCATCTTAAAAGATATACAAAGAAATGGAAATTCCAAACAATATGATTCAGCCTAATTATTGAAACACATGCAGAGATATTTCCATTGACTTTAACTTTTGCAGACCTAACAGTTGCCAAACATCAGTCACTCTTCTAAGGGTAGATGACCACATTTTCTCATGCACTTACGATTATTAGGTCTCTGTGAAAAAGTTTAAGACACAGACATTCAATCCATCAGCTATGGAATTGGTTCCAAGTTCGTACTGAAACATTACATTGTTTTACTAATTTCGGTTTTTGACACATCTGCTTTCTGTCTCCATTATTTTCCCTACAGTTTCATATGAATCGTTCGCTGAGTAAAACCGTGCATGAGAACTGAAAACAGATACCTAAAATTGTCTTTACTTGATGGGACTTGTTATCGTTAGTTCTGTATGTTTGTTGGTTTAATAAAACACCTGAAAAGCTGTGCAGTCCCAATCTCATACCTACTTTCGGAGGTTTCTATTTTCATCCTTGTGCCCCTTCTGTGAGAGAAGTTCTTCCCCACAGGAGGACAAAGAGCAATGACTTAGGAAGCAGAATCAGCCACTAACGCCTGAAGGTGGGGAGGCTGGAGCCAGTCAATCAGATCCTGATTTATGGTTCTTTTCTTTTCTTTTTTATTTATTTATTTATTTATTTATTTTTATTTTTATTTTTTCTTTTTGAGGCAGAGTTTCGCTCTTGTTACCCAGGCTGGAGTGCAATGGCGTGATCTCAGCTCACAGCAACCTCTGCTTCCTGGGTTCAAGCAATTCTCCTGCCTCAGCCTCCTGAGTAGCTGGGATTACAGGCACCTGCCATCATGCCCAGCTAATTTTTTGTATTTTCAGTAGAGATGGGGTTTCACCATGTTGACTAGGATGGTCTCGATCTCTTGACCTCGTGATCCACCCACCTCGGCCTCCCAAAGTGCTGGGATTACAGGCGTGAGCCACCTCGCCCGGCCGATTTATGGTTCTTAAATATTATCTCACACTTCAAAAACAATGCCTTACAAATAAAATGGCTGGAATACAATTCTCTAAACACGTTACCTCTTTGCTCCTTGGAGATTTTTGAAACGACAACTGGAATGTTATGTTCCGCTCCTCCCTGAAAAGAGAAAATCATATATTGTACTTTTTATAAAAAAAAAAAAAATATGCTGCTTTTAGCTGAGAAACCATGCAGGCTCTGAAGGAAATGTTAAGTGGACACGAGGCAGAATTTAAATAAACTTGTGTTCTTTCTCCACTAAGTAGACAGTGATCTCATGAAAATGATCAATCTCTTTAGGATTTTGCTGGGACATCCAATAATAGCAATTAAATTTGAAAGTTTTCATTTATCAACAAATATTGATTACATATTTAGAGAGTCATTCTCTTCAATGTTTAACAGTGCGGCCTGTTATAGAAATTCTTATTAAGGATTCCAAACACCATATAATTATGTATTTCTGTTATCCTGCTAAGTTATTCTGTGCTGGCAGCTAAGGGCTCTTGGTGGAACAGTGACCCCTTGGGATGCTAAGAAAGCAGAGAGACTTTTACCTGCACAAATGGATAAACAAAATCAGAATGTGCATATGCATGAAAACCAGAGATTCATCTGCATTTCCTTCCTCACTATTGAATTCTTCTTTGTGTGAAAGCACATAGTAAACAAATCATACTGCCAAGAATATTGTAGTAGTACTATTTTTTATTTGACCAAATGAGATATGAAAAAAGAAAGATAAGTAAACTAAACTTACATGAAAGAAAATAAGATAAATCCTTAAAAGCTGAACAGAAATCTCGTCTCCTTACTGCAGAATTGAGAAGGTTGAAAAATGAAATCAGTACATAAAAGAATAAAATGTCATAGAAAAAAAGAAGCATAAAACTTTTAACACAGGCTCGTTGAAAGGACGCTCTGAATTCCATTGAGGTTGTTGTATCTCCAGAATATGTAAACCACCTAAGCTCCTTTTTTCTAGTACAAAAAAAAATGATTTTAAAGGAGATATTTTTTCCCCTGCATGCCCATTTTTAACACTTAATTGCCAGTATACTTAAATATAAAATGGTCAATAGTTTTGTAGAAAAGCAGAAATATTTACTTTTTTTTTTCTTGGCAAGTAGAGTACTTAACACTTCCAGAATATTAGGAAGAAATGTGATAATTAAGATAATGAAAACTGTCCTGCTCACACTGAATTTCAAATCCATTGCTAAACTCCCTTTTCCTCACTATTTCACAGCAACCCGCTATTCATGCACCTCACCCCTCAGCTCTGTGGGGGAAGTCACTGGCCTAGGTTACAAACGGCTTCTACTTGTTCTGCTTTTCGGTCTGTGTCCCTAACAAGCAGTGACTGTGTGTAAGATGACATTGCCTCTGGTCTGAGGAGAAATAGTGATTTGTGGCTTATAGTACAGTGGAAATTAAGTGCTCATTTAGCACACAGCAAACTCTGAATAAAGGATGGCTATTATGCTAACACAGCCCATCTATTAAGATTTATGAGGAAACTCACATAGCATTAGAGTTGTAAATAAGATTAGGACTAATCCCATCTAAGACCCTTAATATTTATGAGTTAAGACTCCAAATTCCCGGTCCCCTATTATCTGCTCTGTTCTGTCCCATTAGAGTCATCAGCTTCTAAGATGCTATTTATTCATTTCTTACACTTATTAATAGTTTTCTTTCTCCTCCTCATCCCTAAGTAGAATGCAGATTTCTTGAGGGCACAGATGTTTCTTGGTAGTTTGTTTTGTGCATTGATGTAATCCCAGTGCTTGGAATAATATCAGATTTATCTTTGAAATGTTTGTTGAATTGAATAAATGAATGAATGAATGAAGTCTATGGCTTTTCCAGGACAATCCTAAGGTCACTGACAGCTTCTTGAGAAACTCGGAAATTAGAAAGGATATTAAGGATGCATCTCCGTTTTTTAGAAGGAACAAGCTGGTTAACTCAAATTAATCATTAACTAATGAACTTTTAGGTAGAATTAAAAGATGAAACATCAGATACTGTGATTCAGATATTTTGAGATGGGGAGCAACAATGATTTTGCTGGTCTCATCAGTGAGGCTGTTATGAGTATTTTCCTTTAGCTGTTTTGCGTTTCACCCTTTTCTCTCATTCTACTACTGAACTCAAATTTTTTTTTCAATGCATAGATTATTAATGCAAGTTACCGTGGCAATACATTGGGAAACCTATTCTTGGTGTCCATAGAAAAGATATAGAGATTTTCTGAGGGTTGACTCAATAATCCCATTCTTTCTTCAATACCCAGATGTGTACAGTAATCCCCTGCTTATCTGTGTTTCACTTTCTATGGTTTCAGTTACCCAGAGTATAGTATAATACGATATCTATCTTTGAAATGCAAAAATGTAATTAACCTTTATTTTACCGTCATTTTTCTTTTATATGTAATACATCCTAAGATTTGAAATGGTTTGAATCCAAACATGGTTTTTGGTTTTCTGTTTTCATTTTATTTTAGTTTTTTGAGATGGAATCTCACTCTGTTCCCAGGCTGGAGTGCAATGGTGCGATCTTGACTCATTGCAACCTCCACTTCCCAGTTCAAGCTATTCTCCCACCTCAGCCTCCTGAGTACCTGGAATTACAGGCACCCACTGTCATGCTCAACTAATTTTTTGTATTTTTGTAGAGACGGGATTTCACCTTGTTGGCCAGGTTCATCTTGAACTCCTGACCTTGGATGAGCCTCCTGCCTCGGCCTCCTAAAGTGCTGGGATTACAGGTGTGAGCCATATGCCTGGCCTGTTTTTTGTTTTTGTTTTTGTTTTTTTTTGTTTTTTTTTTTTTGTTGTTGTTGTTTTTTCTTTCTTTCTTTCTTTTAAATTAGACATTTGGAGCTCTGACACACTTTCTAAATTAATTTCTGGAAATGACTTTAGTAATTACTAAATTTTAAGACAAAACTCAGAAGATAAAATTAAAACTCAAAATTATACTCCCTTCATTACTGAAGAAAATGTGAGCAGCTCAGCTGTCATAGTTAATTAGATTTAGTTCAGGACCGAAATAGGGAAATTTAAGGTTTTCCAGTCAATAATTAAATTATGTGGCTTGCCTCATTTAAAACAGGTGACAGACTTCCGTGACACTGGAATAATAATGAAAATCTCTAAACAGCCTCTCCTCCAGAGCAGCTCCTGGACCTCCATCGCCCTGAGCCTGAAGGAGTCCAGCACTCACTGTTCTCCGGCCTGGTATGCTCCTCCTTCCCTCGTAACCAGAAAAAAACTCTCCAATTTTGAAATTTTGACTTCAAGCCCCCTCCTTCAGTGTCTCCTTACTTGAAATAATTCAGTTATGTAGCATTGGATCGTGTCTGTGATTTACATTTGTTTAGGTAACAATTTGATGAAAGTCTACTTTCTCACTGGAATGTAAATGGCCTGAGATCAGGGCAAGGCTTTCATCACCATCTTCTTTCCAAGGCACTCCTGGGTGGGGCTGCGGCTCTGGTTTAGAGAACGCTTGAATTAGCTGAGCACTGTTATTTTCAGCTTATGGAGAAATCCAAGACTAGGAAAAAGGAGGCAGTGTTCTAAAGCACAGCTCTGGTAGCATTCACACATACATCGTTCAACTTTGTAACATTCTTTTTACAAAGTATAGTGGATTTTATAGCTAGTTCTATCCGAAGAAGGATATGAAATCTCATCTAAAGCATTTTGAGAAGGACGCTACACAATGATTTTTATCAGCATTACTGTGAAATACCACCAAATAAAACCTCGAATGCTTTTAGAGCATCGGGAGTCTTGCCCAATAATCTGTTTAGTTCAATGTTATTACTATTCAATCAGTTAATTAATCAGTCATATTACGGGCATGGCGGTGCAGGGAAGATCCATACGGCTAACCATTATTTTTCCATTTAGAGAAAAGAAACTACTCATAAGCAGAGAATAACAGTAATTAGAGTTAAGGGCTGGAATGAACAACTACAGAAGAGGCGCTTAAATAGTATCACTGGAGGAGTACAGGCAAGTGCCATCATCCTTCGGGATGCTCCCTTTATCTGCCAACATACTTAGCTTAATTTTGGTAAAAAAATAATGGCAAAAAAAATTTTCACATGATATATGATTGTCTTCATATGATAGTCTAAAATAGAGAAATGGTTGTTGCTCGGGGCTGAAGTAGGGGAGATGGGGATGAAACGGTGATGAATAATCCGGGATTTCTTCTGAAAGTGATAGAATGTTCTAAAATCGAGTGTCATCATAGTTGCACAGATCTGCGGATAGACTAAAAACAATTTAATTGCACACTTTAAATGGGTAAATTATATGGTATTGGAATTATATCTCAATAAAGTTATTTAATAAAAAAAAGTAATAATCTTTGAAATGATAATTGACTACTGCTTTCAACTAATTATTGGGACTAATTCATAATCCTTAAGGTAAGCTTTTCTGTCTGCCTGTTATCTACTTTTATGATGGAAATGGACATAATCACTTTGTCTATGGTGAAAACAAGCTAATCGGATTTGAGTAAAAATAACGGGAAGCAGAATGCAGAAAAATGTACACAAGCATGTCCATGCACTTATAACAACAGTCGTTATTTAAATATTTTTGCCCAGACATCACTAACAAGTTAAAAGGCATACCTTTATTATAAGATATATTTTATTTGGAAAATTAGTACTCAACCCTTTGTCTTACAAAATTGCTTACTTGATCTTGGTCATTTTGATCCATTTATTTGGGTTTTATTTTATTTTATTTTATTTTTATTTTCTTTGAGACAGAGTCTCACTCTGTCACCCAGGCTGGAGTGCAGTGGTGCGATCTCTCACTGCAACTTTCATCTCCTGAGTTCAAGGAATTCTTCTGCCTCAGCTTTCTGAGTAGCTGAGACTACAGGCATGCGCTACCACACCTGGATATTTTTTTAGATATATTTTTAGTAGAGATGAGGTTTCACCATGTTGGTCAGGCTAGTCTCGAACTCCTGACCTCAAGTTATTCCCTTGCCTCGGCCTCCCAGAGTGCTAGGATTACAGGTGTGAACCACGGCGCCTGGCCTTATTTCAGTTTTAAATAAACCAGAATGTAAATAGC